AAGACCTTCACTTTTGTGGATTCAATCTTACCATACCATCATGTTCAAGAAAACTATATAATAACAAAAGAAAGCATTTAAATACTTTTATAAAACCAATCAATGAACCTACAAGCAGCAACAAAATTGTTGACAAATTGATCTTTTCAACTCCATATTACTTCAGTTTTATCTCTTTTGCCCTTGTTAAGTTTACCTATTCACATTCGTCTCTTCCCCAAAAAAAAGAGATGGTGTATCGTGTTTCCATGAACTTTTAGCAAACATTGAATGGGGGAGGGGGTCTGTTAATGATTTAGAGTGTGGTAAGAAACAGGACTGTTTTTCTACACATATCTCTTAATTCTCAAACATCATGTGTAAACTAATCTTGACGCTGATTGTAGCTAAGAGAATATGCAGCGAATAAGAGCCATAATGGAGAATTGTGATGCTTACCCTAAAAGTCCCTACACATTCCCAATAACAGGAAAACATCAAAACAGCAGTTTAAAAAGCTAATACCTTCCAACCTAGTTTAGTATCTACAGCAACAGCAATGCGTCCCTCAGTAGTCACTGTAATCCCTGTTACGAAATCGATCCCATCAATTTGGATTTGTACACTACGCACAAACTCACCATCTTTGCTGTATATCTCAACCTGCAGGAGTTCTTTCTCTTTTCTAACACAAGCGATGACGACATGTTCACCTGTTCGGTGAAATGCAATGCTCGTGTAATAACAGTCATTTCTTTGCAGTTTAAACTTGTTAAGATGTTCACCGTGTTCACTGAATATGTGAACACAGGAATCATCTCTGTCCATTACCATAACACGGCCATCAGTAGCGACAGTGACATCCCACGCGCTTTTCAATATTCCTTTGCCAAAACTGCGAACAAACTCTCCATTAGAGTCATACTCCTCCACCTCATCCCCCTCCACCTCCCTTCGAACTGTAAGTACTTTTCCCGTGTCACTCACTGACAGTCTTGCGTACCAGCCCCACTCATCTCCCCTCAGACGAAACCTGTGATGCGAGTCACCGATTTTCGTAAGTTTATAAATCCACCAAGGTCTCATAGTCCCTGCCAAGCCCCTCGGACCGGTCAGTACAAAGATGTTGTCGTTCGTGTCTGTGGCTACATCGATAATAAATAACTGTGTATTTACATCATCGCTAGGGAGACTGAAATGTTTTACAAACTTGCCGCTGCTGTCAAACACCTTCACACAACCATCCTCGTATTCCCCGACGATGAATTCTCTATCGGAGTTTGTAGCGATGCCCATCGGCCTATTCAGCTTGGGCTCCTCTTCGCCCTCCTGACCAAGTGACCATGGTTTAACCCAACAATGTTCCATACTTTGTTTAAGTAGTACTTTACATACTCTTGCGTCATACAATGGACTGATTTTCTTTTCTCCAGTATCAATAGGAGGCCAGATCAAAAAGTTTGCGTCTTCACCAATCGTTCGCGTGACATCGTAGATGACACGATTCACATGACAGACACTGGAGAAAATTTCCTTTCTTTCCTCTTGACTGAAAAAACCTCTTACTGCCTGGATGCCTTTCTTGAGCTGAACATCAAAGCTATTTTGTACTGCAGGCAGACAGTTTAATTCCTTTGCACACACTCTGCATGGCGTCACGGCGACAGCAGGATTGTCTACTGTCTCTAATATGGTCGCCATAACTCGATACTTCATGGCCAGAATGCGGTCAGATATTTTGAGGCCTTCGTTTTTAAAAGCTTCAGTAGCTTTTCTTCGAGCATCTTCAAATCTTTTCTTTGCAGCGGAGAGCTTTGTCGTAGCTGATTCATCCAGGCCAGTAAGCTCCAACCTTCTAATTCCTTCAATAAGAGAAAATGGTT